GGCTAATTGCATTCATTAAAAAAAATAAATATATCCAAGTATATTTGTAAATATATATATATATATATATATATATATATACATAATAAATTAATACATAATAAATAAATAAGTTAACAATAAATAAATAAATAAGTTAATACATAATAAATAGAAACTCCAAATATAAATATGTTATCTGAACCACATTAATTATCTAAGTTGATTTGACAAAAGGTAAAAGGTAATTTACAGTGTTTTAATTTAATTTAAATAACATACAAATACCAATTATGCGTATGCTGTATTCTGATGAAATAAACGTTTTTGCAAGCAATATATCACAGATATTTAATTTTAATAAATCTACTCTCAATTTTTGCAATTTATTATTACGATATATTTGAATGTCTGTCAATGTAGAAAGATGCTTTTTGCTGCAAGTGGTGCTCCCTGCAGAAACCTAGTCAGCTTTTGTTCAAGTGTAGGGATAGGGATATGGGCTGGGGGTGTGGCTGGATCTTCAAGCCCCACCCATTATATTCAGAGAGGGTGTGGCTGCATGTCCAGCTCCATCCATTGGCTCTGCAGTGAGCAGCTTTTGCTGTCAGATGCTAACGTCTAGCATGCGGCAGGGGTTAACTGGGCCATGCTAACCATTGCAATGATCTCCAAAACGTGTGAATGAGCAAATATGACAGCAGGCAGGTTGTGTAGGCTACACTGGAGGATTACACACCACACGAGCAGCTGCCATTCAGATGAATGTTCCTTAGATGTCCTTCTCCCCCAGCTGGGAAACCAACCAGGTACAATGTTTTGAAAAACAGCTACCACCTTAAGCTGATTTTAGCTGGATTTTCTAGCAATGTAAAAAAAAAAATAGCAAGGTGAGATAAGGTTTTGACTGGAAATCTCATGCTGGTGTAAGCTTTGCATACGTGCCAGAGGAATTTGTGTTGTCAGCTGGATGGGTTGAATAGATCAGTGGGTCATGTCTCTGTTGATCTTGTCCAATCACTGTGTCAGGGGCCTCTGGAGTGAATCATCAGCATGAAGTATGCTGTCGATAAGTCAAGCACAAAATAAACCTCTAACTGTACCCATGGGGAACGCTCATGTGTTATAAAGAATGAAGCTTTAGGGTTTTGACCTCACAAGTGAGGGTGATTAAACGTTAATGTTCATAATTTCTGAAACAATTATCATAGTTAAGCAAATGTGGTTGGAAATGGGTGTAGGGATTTTGTAAAGATGTTAATGTAATGAAAAGCTAAAATAGTCAAACAAGTGATGCATTTATGGTTTACAAATGTGGCTTTTTCACAACGTCATTTAAAGCTACACTGTGTGAATTTTACCCCCATCTAGCGGTAAAAAGGTATATGACCATCCAGTGAATATTAGTTTTGTTTCTGTTCCTCTCAATTCCGATTTCGTTTTAACTCCTACGGTGGCCAATGTAGTCCAAGATTAACACGGCTTCCAGTTCGACCTCGTCCATGAGTGTTGACTCAAACGTAAACGCGAAAGGCGAAGCTTGAATTAACGGGTATGTCCCTCTTTGGCTAATTTACTTTCAAGATGAAGGGGCAACATGGCGACCGACATTAGAACCCCTTACCCGTATGTATTTTCAATGGCATATTATACACTCACGAGAATACTTTATTACTTGAACGAAGTAAACATACATTAATGAGCACATATATTTTTGAAAGAACTAAGTGTTTTTAGCTAAGAATAAACTAAAAGAGTTACATGTGTAACATTTCTCCTGTAGAATTCATAGGTGGGGAATAGCTAAATGATGTCATTATAAACATGTTAAAATGAATTGTGTGTGAGGGTTAGGTTTAGGGGTTGTGCATTATAAAATATTAGCTCAGTATAAAAAACAATAAAAGTCAATGGAAAGCTTGCATCGTGGTAGAAAAACAAATGTGTTTAGTCATGTTTATTTAAAATATAGATTTTTGTACCAATGTAAAAATCATTACCGTCACGTTTGATCAATTTAATACATACATCTTGAAATTTTTGCATTTTGAAAGAGTGGCATTGCATATATAATGATGAGATGGCCTGTACTGTCTTACTGATATGGTTTCACTACTTTCTTTCTCAAATGAAGTTAATGCTTCATAATCATGACCCTTTGACAGTTGTTTTTCACAGTGGTCCATAAAGCAGCACTGTATCACATTGTTTGCTGTATTCTCACTCCCTGACAGTGTTGAATCAGACCCATGTGTACCACACATTTCCTCACATCACAGTGGCTCTTCTCCAGGCCTGTTCTTTTCTGCACCCACTTTATGACCTTGTTTGCTTTTGTTGAAGGCTCCAGCTGGGCTGACCGGTTCGGAAGACCACAGAGGCACATCCCTTTTCATTTTGTGGGGCGGTCCACGCTTCTCACTGCTTTCCTGCCTCTTCATCCCCACTCTTCCAGTGTGACTGTACGTGTGTGGTCCCTGCCAACAGTTTTGGCCGCAGCATGTGCTAATGGCCAGTGAAGATGTGAAGTATAGCTGACAGGGTCTGGTTTGTGCCCCACAGCCACATCTAGAGAGACTTTTTTTCTAAACATGAGGTTAATGGAGCAGACAGGTTATGTGTGGCAGGCCGTCCACCCAGCGGAGGTCTAACTGGGACGGTGGATGATTGGACTAAACGAGTGTTTGTTAGGATTTCAGGAAGTGTTCTCTGCTTTGTTGATGCTAACTTCAGCCATGCAGCATGTATGTGTATACATGGTCTGATAGTCCAAAAGAAATCCTCCATACACTTTTAAAATAAATGTCCCAAAGGTGAGTTTTCGTAGCGATGCCATAGAATAAATATTGTGGGTTCCTAATTTTTTTTTCTTTGTGTAAAGAACATTTTAATTATCTAAAGAACCTGTTTCCACTAAAGAACCTTTAGGTTCCACTGATGTTAAAGGTTCTTCATAAAAGGTTCCACTGATGTTAAAGGGATAGTTAACCCAAAAATGAAAATTCTGTCAGTTTTTACTCACCCTCATGTTGTTCTAACCCCGTAAGACCTTTGTTCATCTTCGGAACACAAATTAAGATATTTTTGATTAAATCTGAGAGCTGTATCACTTCTCCATAGGCTTCTAAGGGATTGAAACTTGCCGGCCCGAAAAGTTATTAAAGACATCGTTAAAATAGTCCAAGTGACTGCAGTGGCTCAATCTTAAGTTTATCAAGCGACAAGAACACTTTTTGAGCACAAAAACAAACAAAAATAACGACTTTATTTCAACTATTTATTTCCTTCTCTGTGGGCCTCGAGTCAGTTAACGTATAGTATGATAGCGTAGAGCTACGTCACACGTAGGCTCACTATTGGCCGACGCTGGTCATGTGTGTGAAGCGTGTGATGTACAACAACAGAACTAGTGAACTGACTCGAGGCCCACAAAAAAATAAATGAATAGTTAAAATAAAGTCGTTATTTTTGTTTGTTTGTTTTTTTTGCGCACAAAAAGTAGCATTGACTTCCATAGCATGAAAAACAAAACAAAACATGGAAGTATGGTTGCCATCAACTGTCTGGTTACTGTCATTCTTTAAAATATCTACTTTTGTGTTCAACAGAAGAAAGAAACGCATACAGGTTTGGAACAACATGAGGGTGAGTAAATGATGACGAAATGTTAATTTTTGGGTCAACTAGGCTACCCCTTTAAGAATGTAGGGATGTTGCTTCCTGAAAGGTTTAGGATATCTTTTTTATTTTTTTTATTCACACAAAAAATAACACCAAATTTGTGCCTATATGATTTAGTCATCTAGACATTTTAACTCCAGGTTTAAATCCAATTCGCTTAATAGGCTGCAAGCCACACTTTTTGTAAATGCGTCGCTGGATGGCCTGTGTTATAATAGTGCAATGCCACTGGCTTGAAAACACTGTGACTGAATCTTTCCTATAAACAGAGCAGAAACATCCCACCATATGAAGGACAGCTGAGGTGCCAGTCCATGGTCAAATTTTCCAGCCCGGCCTTGGACAGGAGACGATCGCCTTGACGAACTCCTTTCTTTTGTGTCTGTCTGCAACAAGTGTGCTTGCTCTTAAGGGGTATGTGGTCTGTATGCAGATTTTAGATTCCTAGCTTACGATATTTGTGATCGCAGCATGGCAATGACAACAATATTATTCTACCACTAAATTGATTTGGATACAACAAAATAAAATTCTGGCATAATGATTTAAAATAAATTGTAATGTTTATTGTGTAAAAATCAAACAAATCAGGGTTCAATGTAAATTGCAAATCTCATTAAACAAATCACTAAGGAAGCGGTTACGTTTAAGAAATGTAAGGTAAATGTCATAATCTAACATGAAATGTGTGGTTTGAAGTTGATCAACATTTCCTGGTAGTGCCTCTTGAAAAAAAGACAACTTTTTAAAAGAGCTTCAGGACCTGTTTTGTGTCCAATTGTGTTGCTTTAAATAAACCAATAGTTTTAAAAAAATGTATTCAGTGCACTTCTGTATAGAAATTGATCTTGTCGTTTCAAATTATGCGGTAAAATGCTGCCATCTAGTGGATGTGTAGCCTTTTCCCAGTGAAGTAACCCAAAGCAACATATTTATCCTCAAATCGAATCGCTTGAGAGCAAAACACATTACTGAAAAGAAAACCTAAACAAAGTAAAACAGGTAATATTATGTAGTTTTCAGTCAACTGATTTTATATTCTAAATCATTTAACACATTTTAATGTGATTCTACATTCATCCAGGCCATCCATAGACCTGAATATTCAAGATAAAAAAGTGTGTGTGTGTGTGTGTGTGTGATATATAAATATACACACCATCAAACAAACAGAAAAGAACTGAGAATGTCAAAGATTTTTTATTTTATTTTAGAACATCAAAAAAAAAAAAAGGAAATTTTTAAGAGCTTGTCGCTCAATGCTATCATTCCAGAAAGGCATCATTTATAAGCACAAATACCCTCAAGGTTTTAGTGTACACACAGGCATTAACATATCCACTGTGATTATCTTTTAATACGTTCAAAAACATCAACAAAAAAACTGAAGTACAGAATCAGCAGAGATTCTCAAATTCCTTTTGGTTAAATGAGCTGAATGAAAATCTACTCTTATCATTTCAGATTGCATTTCATTTTCAAAGGAATGACAAAGCAAGATGATCTAGAGCGCTCTTGGAATTGTGCTGATTCCTTTCGATTGCTTATTTCTGAAGCCCGCTATGACGTCCTTTCACAAACTTGAAGATACTGTGGGGGGGAAGATGGTGGTTCTTCTTTATCACAGATCCATTTATTTATTTTACATGAAGTCATCTGAATCATTGCCATCCTGCAGAGAAAAGTATAATTTCAAGTCATAACAGAATTTATGTCAATGCTCAGCAATATATATTAAACTCTAAGGACGTATTACCTCATTTGTGGTCATGTTGTCACTCTTCATGAGCGCTGAATAATTCCTGCAGGAAAGTAGATATTAAAAGGACTGATTATTAAATGTTATTTTTTTTTACATTTAACATTTAAATTTTTGTATATACAGTGGATTTTTGTATACAAGTCTGAGACCACATTGAAAATATTGCACAAATATGTGAAGCTCAAATGCTGCAGTAAAAGTAAAAAAAAAAAAAAATTTGATTTAACAAATGTAAATTCTGAAAAGACATTTTTTTTTTTACTCAAATTGTTTTGCTGATAATGTAATTTATAATGAAATAATAATTAAAAAAAAAAAGCATTTTGCAAGCGGTCTCAAACCTTTGGATTCCAGTGTATTTTCTTTCTTTTTTTTTAACCAAAAAACAAAACAAATGTTTGTGTTGAGGTTATACTATGTATCACAACATCTTAAAAATATGCAGCACCTTAATTCTTCCATCTCTTTTTTATTTCTTATTTCCTCCTTCTCTTTCCTCTTCTGATCTTGTATTTGAGCCTTCTTCTCATTTCTTTCCTCTCTGTCCCGAGACTCCTTCTCAGCGGCCAGATCAGGATAGCGCTCCTCTTTCGTTTTCTCTAGTCTGTTGACAATTTCGTTGATTTTCTTTTCTACCGTCACAATTTTCACCTGTTGATTTTGAATTTGCAATTATTTACAAGATTTCATAGTACAATGGTAATCCCTGAACACTTCAAAATTTTACTTTCTTATAGTTTCAATTATACAAAACAAGAATTGGTTGCAGTGTGCACAAAATCATGGTGCTTATTATCAAAGAAGCATCATACCTCCTTCTGCCGAAGGAAGCCTATCTGACCGACATCCATGTCTGCTGTTTTTTTCAGATTCCCCCATGGTGTGTAGACAACATTAATATTGTTCATTTTGCATCCTGTAAAAAAATACAGTTGAGATCATACCTTCAAAACACTGTTAACAAACATGTTTCTCATAAAGATGCAGTACCTTGAATACTGTTGTTTTTGACCAGCTGGGCACAGTCAATCAGGACTTCTTTTGGTAAGTCTTCTATCGCTACACCCTTTAATCAATTAACAGTTGTCAACACAGAAATATTATAAATATTTATATCTGTAGGCTAAAATCCATTTCACTTCTCAAAATACCTTTGGCATCCTTAGATATACATGAGCAGACGAAAGCTTGTCCACATGGAACCTGGAATCACAGAAACATTAATTTTGGGTCAAAACTAGAAGAAAAATAATACTTAATTTGAGGTGTCAATCACCAAATGAATGTTCTCACCAAATATCTTCAGGCCATCCATACTTTATCAGATCTTCATCTGTTGAAAAACAAACACAGCTAAAAACGGTCTGCATAGCATAGAAGCATAGAAGACGGAAAAGTATTATTTATGATAAAACAAGCACTTACTTTCATATTTATCTTTGCCCATGTAGATGGTATAGGGCGGTGAGACGACTGTAAAAGATAGCATACATATTGCAACTTTTAAAAAGCACTGTTTATTCTTACTATCAAACTGAAGACACACTGAACCGCCAACAATATCATCTCACCATGTCAAGCTACATATATTGCAGTCCTTTTGTTGTATGCTCTATATTTTGTAGCATTTATTTTCAAGCATTATCATTATTTCGTATTCATACTGTCTTTGTTGACAACATAAACATGATCGTACCTGGGCACATAATTCACTACTCACCCTCGCTTTTAAAGTAAAACACCATCTTTCCGCAAATACACAACCTTTAAAATGTATTCAAAAAAACAGTGAGCACATCAGAGGTAAATCATCTGAATCAGAGGCACATGTCATGTGTACCATCCATTCTGAGTCCGACCACAACAGGAACCAAGCATCGCTGCAAAGAAGTAGCGATTCCGAATCCCAATTCGTGACAGAATTGTTCGTTTGAATCGGATCTTTTCAATGAATTGGTTAATTCATACTGAACGATCCGAAGTTCCGAACTGTCCTGCAACTGAACTGCATAGTTCTGCCATAAAGATATGGTAAAAGTAGTTAGAGAGACCACTATGCGGTTCCGAATTCAGATACTTTTATCAACACAGACACGAATCAGAGTTTTTTTAAATACTCATTAAAAAAATGCAGACTGATTTAAGATATTTTGTGTTTGATGTAGATGCAAAACATTTTTTAGATTCTAAATTACTTTATTTTTTAGAATAACTAAGTGGCAGCAATAAACTGAATTAGGAAACTTGAACTTACAGTCCGACAGGACCGGCTCTTTAAAACAAACTGAATCGAAAAGAAGAATTCAAAAGAATCGATTCAAATAGATGAATCTGACTTCCCATTACTAACCGGATGTTGTCATACAACATACGCTGTTTCCGTTTCCGTGACTCTGGCGCGCGGCGTTCAAAGCACTTCACGGGTGTGGGGAGTTTTGCCGCGATTATTTTTGTCCAGTGTTTTCACACAAATCAAAAAACAGAAGCGGATTTATTTGACTTGGTAAGTCATCATCTATATATATTGTTGTCGTGTCAGTATTTAAGTGGAATTTGTGATGATGATCATATCCAGCATGCGTTTTTAGGGAGATTTTGATTCTTGTCACTTGGCGCCTAGAAAATAATTGCGGTAAAAACAAGTGAGATGTGAAGTTGTATGCTGTGTGCTTTACACTCTTGGCCAAACTACATACATGTAACTTAGGTCCTGTATCATAGCAATACGTTTGACAGGAAAACATTCAGTTTGATTCTTTTAAATCGTTCAATTTAATGACACACAATATTACTACCGACGCAATTGAGAGTTTGTGTGTTAAAATATTGTGTACTAGATTTGCTCATCTTACTACTTAATATAATCTCAATGGGATTTAATGGCGGAAAAAACAATATTGCAGAAATATAAGAATGTTCCAGAAATGCACCCAGTGGCGTCCTATAGAATTGTTAGAAATCACTTCATGCTCTGATTCCCCGTCCTCTCATTTCAGGTGATTTGAAGATGTTATCCCGAAAAAGAAAACATGCCTCCCCTGATGCTGAAGGGTATGTGGTGTAATTTTGTTTGATTGTGAAATGTTCTTAGCTCTTATGACTCAAATTGCAAACCTTTTTTTTCCTTTGTAACCCTCCTCAGTAACCCATCTAAGAAACAAATAATAAGCCCGAGAAGTTCTCCGAGAAGGACAACACGACACAAAGAGAACATTCCCATCTCGCTGACATCACCCCAAAAAATTCTCAGTACACCTAAGAAGATGCAGAGAACCTCTTCACTAGAGTCTCCTCCAAAACGGATCTCGCCACGCAAAACGATATTGGGAGCAAAATCTTTCTACAGCAAGCAAAAGCCCCTGTATCTCACACCTCTTGAAAGGAAACTGTTGAAGGAAACCAAGTCTCTGCAGTCAGCCCCTAGCAAAGAGCCGTCACACCCCCCTTCAACTGCTGAGAATCCTGTTAAAAAACCAGTGAGGGGGGTTCAGAAGAAGAGCCACGTCACTGGTCCACAGTCTAACTTGAAAGGTTACTTTACTGCTAAACCCAAAGGGAAAAGTCCCTCTGACACACAAACGGATCAGTCGTCAAAGGTCACGGTTCCTGCCATTTCATTTAGCTCTATGAAATCCAAAGGTAAACCCAAGCTTGTTGTGGGAGCAGCTTTCTTCAGCACTGGAAAAAAGGCCAATTCATTGTACAAGAAGTCTGCACAGAACTCAAAGCCTAAACAGCCCTCAACTTACGAGAAACCCAACTCCCAGAAACCTGTGAAGAAGAAGGAAGTGACGTCAGCGCCAGGAGAGCGTTCCCCAGTCCGCCGTGCCGTCTTCTTAAAAAAACACCCGGAAGTGGACGACACAGCCAGAGCTACCAATGATGAAGATGCTGAGAGCAGCGAGTCAAAACAAGTGCTGAGAAGTCCAGAGAATATGTCTCCTCTGGTCCTGGCTGATTTGCATGGTATTACTAAAGACTTGAAGGTGATTTTGAGGAGATCTGTTACCCCAAACAATTCCTTTGAAGCTGGTAACCAGGTAAGATTAAACTATTGAATTGTCTGTTAATAACTTAAAAGCTTTCATTATCTGTTTCTCAAAATGAAAATGTTTTTCAGGATTCGCCCTCTAAAACTGATTCAGTGTTTGATGTGAGTGACATTCCATCAGAACACAACAGCTCTCATGATGATGATGGTAACTTAAAATCCTCCTATCTATCTATCTATCTATCTATCTATCTATCTATCTATCTATCTATCTATCTATCTATCTATCTATCTATCTATCTATCTATCTATCTATCTAGTGTATAATCTGTCTCTCTGCCTACTAGTTTCTAATTAGAAAATAATTTAATATTAAATAGCCTAACTAATATTTTTTTTGATAATCGTATAAATTAAGGTAAATTAACTACATACTATTAATCTACAAATGATCTTTCTATATATATATGTGTGTGTGTGTGTGTATAAATATATATATTATTGACTGTTTACATATACATCACATATATGTGTGTGTGTGTATGAAAACGGTCAATAAAATCTGATATTTTTTAAAAGATGATTTATTATTATTACTCTCTGTTTAGAAGAGTCTACTGTATATCCCATCTTTGGCACTAAAAGGTAAGTCCATCATATACTAATATTTCCCCTAATGCAGTTGTGGCAAAATATTGTAAACAATCAAATGTATAGCTCTATAAAACTAGTGTGATATAATAACTAATTACCTTGATTTTGCTGTGTTATATTCTTTTTCATAGTTAAAGGAGATCTCTGGCGCAAAATGAACCTTTGGTCTAATTACACTTTGGTACCTAGTTGAATCATATGGAATGTAAAGAGTTTTATCTCTAGTATATGGGGGCATATAATAAGTAAAGAGAAATCAGTAGTTAATGCCACTAACAAGGCTCAAAATAGGGTCCCTAGATGCAAAACGAAGCATTGAGAACTTTGACAAGTCGAACCAATATCTTCTTATTAAATGGTCTGTACACTTACAAAGTTCTCAATGCTTCGTTTTGCATGTTAGTGGTATTAACTAGCGGTTTCTCTTTACTTATTATATGCCCCCATATACTAGCGCTAGCATATACGCTAAACAGTTTTTAGAAATAAAACTCTTTACATTCGATTATCATGAAAACAAATCTCAGAGAACGGTCAACTAGGTACCGATGTGTAATTTAGACCAAAGGTTCATTTTGCAACAGAGTTCTCCTTTAATGTCATGACCATGTAAAGGCAATAAACTTGAACCTTATTAGTTGTTCTTTCTTGGTCTTAGATCTCAGAAAAAAGGGATTTTGTCACCACCACTGAACACCAGCACTCCTGCTCTGACTGGCACTCCTGCTTTCAAGGCCAAAGAGAGGAGTGCTTTGAGAAGAGAGATGAAGAAGCAAACGGATAACCAGCTCATCATTGTGAGTAGAAGGTGCAGTTGTTAAATGGAAATAAATGTGTGGTTCTTCACCTCTTGTTAATGGTTAATGTGTCTGCTCTTTAGGATGCTGGTCAAAAGCAGTTTGGCGCTACTTCATGCGGGTCCTGTGGGATGCTGTACAGCACAGATAGTCCCGAGGACAACTTCCAGCACACGCAGTTCCATCAGCGCTTCTTGGACACCATTAAGTTTGTGGTGAGCCGTCATGATGTTGTCATCAATGCAGTTTACTAGGGCTGGGTAATAAATATCGATTTCTCGATATTAATCCATTCTCATTTTTACGAACCAATATCGATTCTTAAATCTCAAGAATTGATTAGTCATCCTGTTTCATTTGAATTAATGGAAACATTGTCTCGCAGCTGCGCGCATCCAAAAAATCGCAATAATCTTTGTCCTTTGTTACTATTGATATGAAACAGTCTTAATTTTCAAATCACGTCCATTTTCTTTAGAAATTCAAAAAATAACTCTAGAGAGGAGCATTTTGCAAAATATATACACCATATTACATATGCATTATAATCTTAATGTTCTTCAATATTGAAGTTTTTATGACAGCCACCATTTAAATGTTTATATCTCATACAATCTTCCTATTATAAAAATAAATAAAAGTGTAATTTAAGTGTTTGTATAGCTACAAAACAGTTCATTATTACTTTCATATTAGGCTAATGAAGCCTATAGGGTACAACTAGACTCCCACAGTTTACAGCATTAGTTAAGAGATTTGATTTCCTTGAGAAAATTTGCCATTTATTGTAACTGATATCTAAAATAATCAATATTGAATCGAAATCGAATCGAATTGCAATGCTTGTGAATCGAAATCGAATTGTGAAATTTGTGTCAATACCCAGCCCTACAGTTTACCGATTCTGCTACAAAAATGTTGCAATGTCACATCAATTTGTATGTTTTAGGGTTGGAAAAAGGAGAGGGTTGTGGCAGAGTTCTGGGATGGAAAGATTATTCTTGTTCTTCCTGAGGATCCAAAGTATGCCACAAAAAAGGTATGCTGGTAGTTGGTTAGAGCTTAAACACTTCTTCTGCCAAGCTAAATCAATATTTTCTAACTTTTACTGCTTTGTTCCAGGCAGAGGACGTGAGACGGATCGCGGACAGTGAGTTGGGCTTTCAGCAGATCACACTGAGTAGCCCGAGCTCGGCTAAAACCTACCTGTTCATTAACAGTGACAGAATGGTGGTGGGATGTCTGGTGGCTGAGAGTATTAGACAGGTGAGTCTTGGTCTACCTGAAGACTTTACCTCAGAATGGCAGTGATGAACTAAAGTAAAACTGATATTACTGAACCCAATGTTTTCCAGGCCTTTCGTGTGCTGGAGCAGCCAGAGAAACCCAAAGACATGAACAAGGAGGATTTCATGGAGCGCCACAGAGCTTGGTGCTGCTCTACCGT